ACCACTTCGTATTCTGACCTCCCAATCTGTTTGCCAAGCGCACAGACCCCAACCCATGCATCCCACAGCCCCACTGGGTCCCTAGTCCTAACCCTATTTTCAGCCTGGTGGCCTTAACTGCAGTGGAGGTGAAACTGCCCTGATGTGACAGACTAGTCCCAGCTGCTGGGCCAACTTCGGATCATTCCAGGTAGAAAGACTGCCCACCGCCTAGTGACAGCCTGAAACATGATGCTTCCTGTGCTCCCTGCCCAGGCCTACTTGGTGGGCTGTTAAGTCAGCACCAGGGAGGCCCCGGAGGTGGGGCTGCCGGCAGGTGCAGGGATCTACTCGGACCCTCAGCCTCTGCTCTAGAGATGCTCTGTATAGGCTGTCCACTGTTAACGAATAAACGTGCAACCCGTGGCCCACAGCCCGAGTAGCCAGACAACGTGCTCCAAATGCAGTCGCAGGTGTAGCTGCTCTTCCTACCCAGCCCTCTCCGTGCTTGGTGTGGACCTGGGAGGAGGCCTGGGTTCATATGAGCAACATCCCGCCTACCCCGCTAAGCGATGCTTAAGCCCAGCGGTGGCGCGGCGTCCTCTCAGGGAGGAGGAAGGACACCTGCACATACTGAATGCCCTGCCGCACCACCTGACCTCAAGTACTACCCGCCCTCCACCTGTGCTGGCCACACCCTCAACAGTCATTGGCTGTTGCAGTGCGAGCTGCAACCTGGGAAATGTAGTCAGCTCGCGCGGCGCTCTGTTGGGTTCGGAGAGCTAGCTGCGGAGCTGTGCCGACGAAAAGCAGACTGGTCCCCTGAGGTTTCACAGCCCTTACCCTACGACGCACAGATTTGGGACACCACAGACAGTTGACTTCCTTCATTAACACCTGCTCGCACCTCACTTCAGCGTGCTAGAGGACCCGCGGGCGGAGCCATCGCTGAGCTGGAGCTGGAGCCCGGGTCGGTGCTGGCCGGGGTCGAGGCTAAGGTAGTGGCCGCTGGCATGTTGGTCGTGCCTTCACGTGTCCCCGCCACCATCTCAGTGGTTACGGGTCTGTGGAGACTGGCAGCCTTGTCCACTTTCGGACCCCATCGAGCTCCCGGTGTTTCAGCGGGGTCGCCACTGCTGCACCATGTTGGGCTGGAGACGGAGGCACGGGCTGCGGTGGCCTCAGGAGCGACGCTGCTGGTGACAGGCACGCTCGCAGAGCCACGTGCTGTAGTGGGGGAAGACATCAGGCCACGAAGGAGTTGTGCACGGATAGCGCCACGGTGCCAAGGATGCAAGAAAAGCAGGATTACGTCACAGAGGGACAGCCATCCACACCCATGACGGTGACCCGTGTCCGACTGGAGCTCTGTGCCCACGCGGGCTCAGCCTTATGCTTTCCCAGGAGTCACCTGGACTGGGCTGCTGAAGTAAATGCGAGTAACCGGACTGGTCTTCCTTGGTGTCTTCCCTAAAGGCCAGTCTCCATTTCAGAGGGTGGGGCTAGAAACTCCTCTTTGGTGCTTTTTTTTTTTTCTTTTTTTGGTGGAACTGGGGATTGAACTCAGACCTTTGCGCTTGCCAGGGAAGCGCTTATTCCGCTGAGCCATCTCCTCGGTCTCCTAGGTCCTCATTCTTGATAATAAAGTGGGCCTCGAGCCACTTTCTCAACTTCAAGCTCAAGTGAACGGGGCAGGGGTCCCAGAGTTTCAGTGCAGGAAGCAAACATTGATTCGGTGGCACAAAGAACTCTCAATGAACCCTGGCTGATAGGATCTGTCTTGACGGCAGGCAGGTTTCTGCTGAGGATGTCTGACCCCAGCTAACCCCAAGCAGACCCAGCACGCTGGCTGTGGTAACCCTGACCACAGGATAAGCCAGCCAAACCCCTCTTTGACCAACTCTGACCTTGGCTTCCCTCTTGGGGAGAGGATTGCTTCAGTGATGGGCTCACCAGTTCTCTCCAGAACTAGAGCTAGTGACTGGTGGGGCGGGCTCTGACCAGGACCACACCTACAGCTTCCCTTGGTTCCTGTAGAGCCACACTTCCCTAGTTTCCTATGCTCAAGGCCTTCTGTTTGTCCTCTCTCTCTGACTTTAAGCTGGCCCATCTTTCTCCTCTGCTGTGTTTATCCATGATCCTGGCTGTATTGCTAAGATGCAATTCCTCCAGACTTTGAAAATTACATAGAGTGGAGGGTCATGCCACCCTCAATCCCTCAATGGCATCTCTTCCTGAAGCTTCTCAAGTAAGACACTTTTTGGACTTTTTCCCCCCCTCAACCATCTCTCCTCTTACCTGTTTGTGTGTCCCCCCCACCCCCACCCTCTGGACATCAGTTTCTGAGCCAGTCATTCTTCAGGTCACTTACTCCCAAGTGACCTGGCTGGCTGCTGTGGCAGGCACTGTCACCTGTTTTGCTGAGCATCTGAGCCCGGGGTGCAATTGCAGTCGCCCTGTAATACACCTTGCTGAGGATTCCTTTAGCACAATGCTAACACACCTCAGTGTTGCCAGGGCTCGAAACTCACAGAATGTGGAGAACCTCTCATTGCATCCCTGTGAAAGGCAAGTCCCTCCTCCCATCATGCTGGAACCCCTGCTACTTTCTGGGCAGGGAAAGGAATGGAAAGACAGACTGCCCTGGGTTGGGTCAGAGCTGCCTTCCTGCCTAGGGCAAGAGTCCCTTATGAGGACATAGGCAGGTGACAGGCTAGAGCCAGTGCTGACCTCCAGCAGTCACATAGGCTCAGGAGATGCAGCCTGAAGCAGGCTGGGCATGGAGTTACCCCAGATAGCCCTGACAGAGCAGAGCTCACACCAGGCCCAGGCAAGCCCCACCACAGGGAGGAGCGGTGGGGCTGCTGCAGAGCCTGCCTGAACTTCTGCTGTGGCTTTTGGGCAAGTGGCTGTTTCCACATGGTGGGAGCCAGTGGGCTGACTCTGGGAACAAGATGCAAACAAGTCAGGGCTCCACCCACTTCTCAAAGCTGGGAGGCCTAGAACCCAAAGAAATTTGGAGAGGTGGCTGCCAGTTTCTGGAGCATCCTAGGAACTGTGGCACCCTTGGGAAGCTTTGGATTAGCAGAGGCCTTCCTCTGACTCCCTGGGCCTGCAGAGCTGGGGATCAGGTGGCCCCTGCCAGTTATCAGTTGGTCGGTCACCCAGCAACCAGCCCATTCATTGTGCTGGTGTCAGAGCCAGGCACTGGCAAGAGCTGTTGGCGCTGACACCAGCTCATCAGTTTCCTCCTCATCCCTCTAGGATGTACATTTTAAAATTTCAGGAACCCCTCAGTTTATCTCAGGGAGGCCCTGGGCATGATTGTGGGACCCCTGGGAAAAGGGCAGGACTGGGCTGCACTGAGCTGACCTGTAGGCTTTGACTCTCAGAGCTTGCGCTAGGCTGAAGGAGAAGATCAGAACACCTGGGAAATCTTATTCCCTTTATTCTCTTCAACTAATCAACATGACCACCAGCGACACAACACTGTTATTGACATACAACACTCACAAGTGGGGCCTTTTCACACCACGGGGACAAGTCAGGTGAGCAGGGCTTTTTCCTCATAGGGGCAAAGGAGTGTGGCAGCTGTTCACCTCAGGGCAGGGGTAGTGGAACCCCACCTCTTGGTTATGGTTTCAAGCGCCTCCCCCTTCCAGATTCATGCCCAGTTCTTCCAGGTTCCCATCTGACCTCCATAGCCACAGGAGTTTCAAGTTTCACCCTAAGCTAAGATCATTTTCTTCTCTCCCTCTGGTTCACTAGTGACTCCTCATCCCTGGCTGGCAGGCTTCTCCACGCAGGAAGGGGCTCCGGGCCAGGGTGGGGTGGGAGAGGTTTTGATTACGCTGTCCACACTCCATCCTGCTAGCGAGTGCCTCGCTGCTCAGAGGAACCCTGAGGCTGCCTCCTTTTAGATCCTCCCAGCTGGCTCCAGTAGGGAAGCAGCTGACTAAGAGCTCAAGGAGGTGGGCGGAAGGGCACAGGCCACACAGAGGTCTGATTCTGCCCCTTCCCAGTGGGAAGCCCCAGTCCCCACTGGTCATGCCCACACCATCCACCCAGTACCAGAGCCAGGCCTTGTAGCCCTCGCCTGTCCCCCCAACATGCAAGCGTCTTATTGTGTATGCTACACCTTAGTCCTCAGTGGGCTACGGCTGGCCTCAGCTGTACCAACCACCTCCCCCAGACTGGCCTCTGCGCCCCAAAAGCTGCTCCCCAGCACCCTTGTGGGACAGACTCTCAGACTTGTATCTGAGGGAACCTGCTTCTAGCATTACAAGGGCTTTGTCTCTACATCTTAGTTTCTGCTACCATCTTAGAGGGAGACAAATCAGCTTACACTGGGAGGACTTAGCTGCTCTGTGTCTCACAGGGACACTCCCTTTGCTGACATAGTTCTGTCACTAGAGATTCGCAGCTGGGCTCCTCCTCTCAGTGGTGCTCTCCTACCTGGCACTTGGGTGGGGTGGGGCTCCAGGCAATGTTAACAAGGCTTTCCCCACAATCCTAAAGGCCTGCATTTTTCCTCTCCCCAGCAGGCCTGGACATTTTCTCCCTCAATGTTCTAGATCCGGAGCCTTTTAAATCTGAGTTATCCCTCAGGGGGCAGGCTAGATGAAGGGTGAAGTATTCACCTTTTGAGCTTCTAGGCAATGGAATTTGAGGTCTCTTTCGTAGCTCTGCAGGAATCCAGGTCACCTCTCTCCACACACAACTCCTGAAGGGCCACTTCACCTTCATCTCAGTCCTACTTCGAGACAGTCAAGGATAGCACCAGAGAGCACTTCCTTCCCGACCCAGCAGTGACTGGATGCCTCTCCATCTTTAAGGGTCTCCAAGGCTAGGGGGATCTTGGTGGCAAAAGATCCTCTCAGGATTTTTCTCTCTTCAACCATTTTAAAGTAACTGTCTCATCACACGGTCCCTCACATGAGCAGGCTGGCTGGCTGAGTCTATGAAAGGTGTGTGTTGTGCAAGATGGCCCTGGCAGGAGAGGATCTCCCTTTGTTCCACTTCCCTCAGAAGGCTTCTGGCTAAGGAGGGGAACGTAGAAACTGTCCCTTCCCAAGGCCAAGGTCAGGCTGGTCATCCCACCTCAGAGTTCCAGATACCAAGGTGAGGAAGGTGGTCAGGCTTCCGTGGACTCTTCAGGGATCTGTGGTCCAGCGTACAGGAAAAGCTGAGGTTGAAAGCAGGCTGCTGGCTAATCCAAGCTTTGTGTGCTGTCATCTTGCAGAAACGGCTTTCACTCGGAGTCTAGGGAGGACAACCACACACAAGCCTTGAGTCTCTGAAGGAATTTATTCTTTGGAGGTTGACTAGCAGCGGTTCTCCCTCTTCACCGAGGACAGAATTTGAGGAAATGGGTTGCCACAGCAGCAAAACTGGTGGCAGTTAGATTTCAGGAAAAAACCTGACCATGAGACCTGAGAATGTGGCAGAGCCCCCCCCCCCAATCTGGAGGCCTCTTAAAATAGATGTCTCCAGCTAGGCTGGGGAAAGGGGGGTCCTGCCTGGTGGCCTGAGCTGGATTTGCTTGTACTTGCAGTTTAAGGTCCGGGAAAGAGGAGAAACTGGCCTCAAGTTACTGGGTTCCACTGGAACAGTTTCTCCCCCTTGGTCTGCTTCCTTCAAAGCAAATTTAATGGAAATCCCCTCTAATTTTTGTGGTGACTTTCTCAGTATTCTTACACTCAAAAGGTTTAAAAAAAAAAAAAAATCCACCCCACACTTCAGCCTTTAAAAGGGTTTGACATAATTTTTCATTTTTGGGTTGTTGGTAATGATGGATTCCACGGGCCTATTCCCTCACATGTACTCTTCTAAGATTGGTCTTGTGTCCCAAGGAACCCCCCAGTGCAACAAGCTGGAATTTCTCTTTCTAGTCTCTTTTCTCTGTGGGTTCAAAAGCTCACTGCTTACTTTCCTCCTCTTTTTCTTCCTTTTCCAGTTTCACCTGTTCCCACACTATTCTTCAGCTGAGAATTCTCCTCAGCATAACCGTCCAGGACTGCCAGGAGAGGGGCTCCCTCCCATACTCATGCAGGAGGGCACTTGGGAAGGTGCGCTTCCCACACCTGAGGCTCGCCCTCCTGATTCAAGGCCATGTTGTACTTCCTGCCCTTCCTGACCCTCTACAATTTTGATAAGGAGTTCAACAAGGATTTTGATGCAGTGTTATGGGGTTGCCTAGAGACTTACTGAGACCTCTTCCTACAATTAATAGGGCTTTTATCCACTATGGTTTATAGGGTTTTTCTGCTACAGACTTAAAGGGCTTTTATTTTTTTGTCCTATATATTTATAGGTTTCTAACTCAACAGTTTTTCTCTACGCCTTTTAAGTGGTTCCCACCAATAACTGTATAGGGTTTCTCATGACTGATGTAAAATTTTTCCCCAGGGTTCATCTTCCTCTTCTCTACAGTCTCATAGCGTTGTTCTCCTTTCTCCACATCATTTTTAGGGGGATCCAGCACTCCTCTCGGGAGAGAGAGGCTGCTGGTCTCCAGAGTCACTTCACAGGGAGACGCCAGGATGGCAACTCCTGTGGAGAAGGAGGGCTGCAACTTCTGCGAAGCTGTCTCCACACTCAGGGCACAAGTAGGGCTTTTCTTCTGAGGAGATTTTGGGGCTTTCCCTTTCCCTGCGGCTGCCTCTTCCTGTGGGGCTGGAGGCCTCTCCCTCACCTTCCTGGCTTGTAGACAGGGTGGCTGGCTCTGGCAGGGGGTCCTTGGATTTGGGGGACTTTTCTTGGGTGTGGGATTCCTGGTGCCGGACGAGAGCCAGCCGATCTGGGAAGGAGGCCCCACAATCAGTGCAGCTGTAAGGTCTGGCCCCCAGAGGGCTCCTGAGGTGCTCCAGCAGGACAGAAGAGCTCTTTCCTAGCTCAGACCCCTTCCCCAGCTCAGAACTCTTCTGGGATTTCCTGCCTGCATGGACTTTCTGGTGCTGCAGCAGCTCAGAGCTGAGACCAAAGCTTTTTTTACATTCGGGGCATTTAAAGGGTTTTCCACTTAAGAAAGGACTGGGGCCTGCCCCTGTCCCTGCCCCTTCCCCTATGCCAGTCCTACAGTCAGGGAAGAGAAAAGGCTTCTCACTGCCATGGGTGAGCTGATGTTGGACAAGCACAGCACGATCCAGGAAGCTTTCTCCACAGTGGGAGCAAATGTAGGCCTTGGAGGAAAGCGGCCCCAGCCTTTGGCTGAAGCCCTCCTGCCCCTCTGCCGCCCTCAGGGACTGGCCGGGGTGGTCGGCCTTGCCCTCTATGGCACCTGGGTAGGAATTCCCGCCAAAAGGGAGCCTTGGAGGTCGGAACTGAGGAGGTTTGGGAGCTGGGTGTGTGATGCGACCGTCTGCATTTTTGTAGGGGTTTTCTCCGATGTGGATCCGCTGGTGCTGCATGAAGATGCCCTCGTCGTTGAAGCCCTTGCCGCAGACCAGACACTTGTGCGGCTTGGCTCCTGGCGGTGGAGTCAACAGGGTGGGGTCTCCGAGCCCCAGCACAGAATCACCCTGCGCTCTGCGGGCAGGAGTCTTGCCCCTCTCATGGACCACGCGGTGCTGCTCCAGCTCGTGGGCCTCCAGGAAGGCCTTCCCACAGTCGGAGCACACGAAGAGGTTCTCGTCCATGTGCGTGCGCACATGCGTGATGAGGTTGGAGCTCTGGCTGAAGCTCTTGCCGCACTCCGGGCACTTGTAGGGCTTCTCGCCCGTGTGCGTGCGGCGGTGCTGGATGAGGTGCGAGCTGCGGATGAAGCTCTTGCCGCAGTCGGAGCACTTGTAGGGCTTCTCGCCCGTGTGGATGCGCTGGTGGCGGATGAGAGTGGAGCTCATAATGAAGCTCTTGCCGCAGTCGGCGCAGATGTAGGGCCGCTCGCCTCGGTGGATGCGCTGGTGGTTGATGAGGTTGGAGCTGACGCTGAAGCTCTTGCCACACTCGGGGCACTTGTAAGGCCGCTCTCCCGTGTGTGTGCGCTGGTGCCGCAGCAGCGTGGCACTCAGGGTGAAGGTCTTGCCGCACACAGGGCACTTGAAGGGGTCCTCGCGCAGGTGGGTGCGCTGGTGCTTGATGAGCGTGGAGCTGTGGCCGAAGCTCTTGCCGCACTCGAGGCACTCGTAGGGCTTCTCGCCCGTGTGCGTGCGCTGGTGCTGCGTCAGCTCCGAGCTCTGGATGAAGCTCTTGCCACACTCCGTGCAGCGGTAGGGCTTCTCCCCTGCATGGATCTTCTGATGCTTAAGGAGATTGTGGTTCTGGCCAAAGCGCTTGCCACACTCGGGGCACTTGTAGGGCTTCTCCCCCGTGTGTGTGGCCTGGTGCTGGATGAGGTCCGAGCTGCGGTAGAAGGCCCGCCGGCACTCGCTGCACTTGTAGGGCTTCTCGCCTGTGTGGGAGCGCTGGTGCTTGATGAGGTTGGTGCTCTGGGTGAAGGCCTTCTCGCACTCCGTGCACTTGTAGGGCTTCTCGCCCGTGTGCGTGCGCTGGTGCTGCACCAGGTTGGAGCTCCAGCTGAAGCACTTGCCGCAGTCGGGGCACTTGTAGG